CCTCCCCTGGAGTCCTCTGGCACCGAACGAGGCGAGAGAGCGCGCGCGAGCTTCCCAGCCGGAGAGGGTTATTTTTAACCTGCCCCCCTTTCTATATCTGCCTCTCGGGTTTGCGCGCCCGCCCGCCCGCTCGCTCCACCAGCCGAGGACGCGGGCTCCTCACCTCGCTCGGCGGCTCCGGCCTCTGAGCGCCTCCCCCGGCCCGCGGCCCCCGCCCCTGCGCGGGCATCGCGCGGCTAAATCTCAGCCTGGAAAGGACCGATTAGGAGCCGCGTGCCTTTCTGCGAAATATTGGAACCGGGTGGGGTGGGGGCGGGGAGCCCGGCGCTCTCGTCCCCTCGCCTCCCTCCCTGCTTGCCGTGACTGCGAGAGGCGGCTCCGGCGCTCCCTCCGCAAAACAGGGGGCGGCCAGGCCGGGGCGCCGAGCCCCCCTTCGCTTTTCGCCCTTCACTCCTCAACGCCCACCCTTCAGTCATCGACAAAGCTGGAGCTTCTAACACACCGACCCTGCGGCAGCGGCGGCGCCAAGTGGGGTGCTGCCTCCCCCCATCTCAGCCTCCTCCCTGAGCCACTCCAAACAAACACACCATTTAAACAGCAGCGGGTTTGCACACCAACTTCAAGGCGGACCCCGCCCGTGCCCGTGCCCAAGGCGCACCGGGGGGCCTCTTTCCCCAGCCTGTCTCCCTCCTCTCGGGCTTTGGCCTCCGTAAGGCCCCCTTTCGCCCCTCCCTCCCACTCCCTTCCCCGTCGCGCCCAGCAGCCCAGACCCCTACCCCCACCCCCCTTCCTCTGGGGAATGAGGCAGCAGGAAGTTCACGTCCATTCCCATTACCTTGCTCTCCAAAAGGCCACCCACCCAAACCCCAGCCTGTCCTTACCCCCAAGGGAGGGGGCAGTAGAAGAGCTGGCTGAGCTCAGAACCCCCCTCCAGGCTTTGACTGGATCAGGCACTTGACATTTTCCAGACTCTGCTCACGCCCAATCCTGGAGACCCACAGGCACAGGGCCCCCTAAGGACCCCCTCCTGAATGAGGTGGGGTAAAAGACAGCCGCTGCAAAATACAGGGGAAAACTGTGGAGGAAGTGGTGGGCTGAGAAGGAGGGAAAAGGGCGTTCCAGCGGCAAGGAGCTGCCTGGCTTAGTGGCAGGAAAGAACACAGCGTATTTGGGAATCTGAGCCGGATTTCTCTCCCCAGCTTAGCTGGAAGGTGGGGGAGGGTCCGGCCTCCACCCCATGGGAGCAGCCTCTGGCCAGGATTATGGTAAGCCTGGCAGGCCTGGGGGGGGGGGGGGGCGGCGGGCAGAGGGGGTAAAGATGCATGTGGACCACAGATGTGAGGACAGCAGGTGCCACTGGGCTTGTCTGATGACACCTTTGGGCCAGTAGCTGCAGCTGGGGGGCCCAGCCTGCCCTGGAGGTGAGAGAGAGGCGGCAGGAGAGAGAGGGTCCCTTAGCGCAAGCAGGACCTGGCAGGGCAGAGTGGGCTTCTTAAGGGGCTTCTCCCCCCAGCCAGCCTGGATACTGAGCCCGGGGCCACCCTCAGATCTAG